GACCAATCCAACCTCAACTGACTTGACATGATCATCAATACTGAAATAACTTGAAAACATGAATTTTGTACGAAACGTTGGACTCGTCCGCGGCAATTCATACTTTGACTGAACATGAAACATAATATTTGCTGAACAAATAACATGAAATGCTCAAGGGACTGAACCTAACATACTTGTCACACATGCCCGGCCCGTGGTGCGCGCTACGTGCGCGACCACGTCCTTTGGCCGAATCACCAAACAAAATGAATATTCTTCCGAACACCGAAGCTTAACTGAACATGATATGACGTAAAAGGGCTGATTACATGATAACAACTTAAAAGATTCGGACTTAAACATAAACACGCTCGACACGGCCACACGCACGGCCAATGATAATACGTGAACAAATCATGAACTTGAACCTGAATTAGAACTTAAAAAGGGACAACATGATCATAAGAATTATATAAGAGGATTACCTCCTTAACTAGCTCACACATTCACGGCCCTCTCGAACTCCCAGCGTGCGTGCGTACTCGCCGTGCGGTGCGTGCGTTGCTTGCGGTAGGCTAGACCTTCTCGCTTAAGGTGATATTCTCAAATCTCACAACACTCTCTCTATACTAAGGCTAACGAAGGGAATATATATAGCTGAAAATGATCAGGAAATCTTCCCAATACTCCCATATATATAAGACGGCCGTATATATTTAAGGTGACAAGGTGATTCGTGGATTAATATTATCATGACGCTTGCCATAATCTTGTGGTCTAAACATGATGAATTATCCCTAAACCTCTCCTAATATGCCACGTGCAAAACTTAAATGAGAGGAAAAGTGTTTCCCCCACTTGAAGAATGCTACGGCATTATTAAAAAATTTTCAAACAATTACAATTAAAAGCTACGGCTTTATGCTTGTTAAGCGTGATTAATTACCAATTAATCACTATTTTATGCCTAATTAATTATTAAGCATAATACTTAATTACCAAAATTATTCCGAACGTAAACGGGACGTCGAAAATAATTTCTGGTAATTCCGACTGAAAATAATTAACCCCGAAAAATAATACTCGACAATATTATTATATCGGAACTGAAAAACATGATTTACATTAACAACATGACGTGATATTCCTGACTGAATAATTAATTCTGAACTCATTAATTAAGTAAAAGAATCGGAATTAATTCTAGAAACTTATTCGGTTACTTAAATAATTAAACCGAATAATTTATCGACTAATAGTCGAACTTGGAATATAACAAACTGAACAACTTGAAATTGAACATGAACATGCTTATTTATTAACAAAGGCTAGCTTAATGCTAAAAGCTAGTATTTTCCTTTATTAATAAAATACGGGGCGTTACACAATCAATTAGCACGCAACCGCTCGGTTAAGAGATCAAATAACATACTCGTTTAGAGGCTTGTTATCAATAACTCTTCGTAACGATCAATTATAACATATAGACAATCTATTAACGAACAAGCCTATTCTAAACGAGCCGAGATCAATCAATTTCTCCCCTTCTGGTTCTACAAATTGATTAACTAGATTAAAATGATGATCAAACATCTAACCCTAGATTAAGCACAACTCGAATAGATTGAACGACAAACACGTACACACTAATCTCAATCGAACCAAAACAAATATCCCATGTCCCTAACGAAGCGATTTAGCCACACATATTTATATCAATCCCAACAAAAGATTCAACATAATAAATCACTTCCATAATCAAATGAAAGGAAATTATTAATAATCCAAGTCGAGAATAAAATCGAATTACAAACCAAACCGTGTTCGTTATGGAGTACCACAATTTGAAAAACTCGAATCCAAGCAAAATCCAAAGAAAATCAAGTGAAAGTTGTTGAGAGAATGAGTTTTGAGATGAAAAAAAAATATAAGTCTCAATAATCTGTTTTCTCTCCAGCCCTAGCCTAATATATCCCCAAGGGTTCCAAAAATCTCCCCCTCATCTCGTCCAGGGATGACATGAAAAAAAACCATATGTTAAACCACGTATCGTTTTGCAAAAAAATTTAAGGGCGTGATATATTATGCAAAAGTTAAAAGGTTGTGATTAATTATGCAAAAAAAATCGTCTGTTAAATACACACCAGCAGGTGCGGTGGCATTTTGAGTGCCACGTCAGACGAGTTTGGACAGCGCATGTATCATTTTGCAAAGAATTGAAGGACGTGATATATTATGCAAAAGTTAAAAGGTTGTGATTAATTTGCAATCTCGATAAAGGTCATGATATTAGCCGCAATTTTGCCTTCATAATGTGGTAAGTTTAAGTGACAAATTTTTAAGCTTAAGAATCTTTTTTGGCACCAATTTATTCTGACTTATCAAATTGGTTGTTTCTTGTGTCTTGAGAATTAACATGAATTTCTTTATCATTGGTTGCTAAAATTTTGAACTATTCGCGGAGTGTACACTATAACTACATGTATGTATTCACAATCAATGTTGTATTCTACAGAGGCTGTTGTTAAGATAAATAAATATTAAAATAATAACGATCAAATATTATCTAATTTAATATGATCTTGGAGAGAATATTAACTATGTACTATGAATCTAAATTAAAGATAAATTAACTTAAACTATCTAACCAATGAGCTTTGATTAAATTCATAAAACAAGCAAGATCATGAAAATAGATTATGTGATACATTTCATAAAATATTTTATATTCATATAAACTTTTTTTTTTTCAAATCATTAAATTAATCTAACTTCTCTCGTGCAAGTTAAATGTAGTTGTTTATCTTCCCCTGATTTCATGATAGACAGCTAACTCCACCAATTCAAAGGTGGCTAGCCCACCATTGAAGGGAAAAAAAAAAGGAAAGAATGAGGAAATTGCAGTGAGGAAGTAGCAGCCGTTTTTTTTTTTTTTTTTCTTTCGTTCACATGCTCCTTCCCCCTCTATAAATAGAGGGGGATTCATTCTGAAGCAAACACAACAAAAATCATAAGAAGAAAAAGAGAGAGAGAAGAAATAACATTTTGTGAGTGTTATTTTTCAGTGAGATAAAAATAGAGTGTTTGAGAAAATCCTGTGAGTGTGGGAAAAATACACCGGATTGTGTATCAACTCTATTACTCTTTGTTTGTAAAATTTGAGTAAGAGTGGGGTTTCACTGAGTCACTATATTTTAAATTTCTAGTGTAGGGGAGGGTGAAAAGATATTGTAATTATCTTGAAAATATAGTGGAATTGTTTGGAGGTTGTCCCGTGGTTTTTTCCTCTACATTGGAGGTTTTTCAGCGTTAAATCTTGGTGTCTTATTTCTTGTATATTTTATTTATTTGGGATATTCTTAGTATGCTCTGTGGTCGCAGTTTAATCTGATCTTCCACATCAGAAAAGAATTATTCTTGTTTCATTGCAAAAGTTATTTTTCTTTTGTCATCTTGAGTTGCTGGGATTGAGTTTATTGTTCACCATTTTACCTCGGTGTTTTAATTTACACCTTCCGCATTTGCGCATCTGAGCCCAGCAAGTGGTATCAGAGCTCAGGTTGGGCTCTATATCGACCAGTGTAAATTAAATGGAGGAGAACGTGGGTACCATGGTGAAGCTCACGACAACAAATTACTCCATTTGAAAGCCAAAAATGGAGGACATACTTTTCTACAAAGATTTGTACGATCCTGTAGAAAAGGGAGACAACAAGCCAGATGACGTGAAGGATGAAGATTGGAAAAAATTACACAGGAAGGCTGTCAGTTTAATCCGACAGTGGGTGGATATCAACATATTCCACCATGTTGCCACAGAGTCAAAAGCCCATACTCTGTGGAACAATAATGAAAAAATGTACCAGAGGAAGACTACACATAATAAAGCTTTCGTCATTAGAAAGCTTGTGAATTTAAAATACCGGGATGGAAGATCAGTTGCAGAACACTTGAATGAGTTTCAAGACATGGTAAACCAACTTGTTACCATGGAAATGAAACTTGATGAAGAGCTGCAGGCGTTGTTACTTTTGAGTTCTTTACCGGATAGCTGGGAGACTCTGGTGGTCTCGTTGAGCAACTCTGCTCCTAAGGGAAAACTGACTTTGACCCAAGTCAAAGACAGTATGTTCAATGAAGAAACAAGAAGAAAAGACTCAGGGGCAAGCAACTCTCAAGCCCTGGTCACAGAAACTAGGGGAGAAGCAAAAGCAGAGGCCGGAATAACAAATCCAGTGATAAATCACAATCTCAACCCAGGAGAAAATTCAAGTGTTATCACTGCAGTGAAGAAGGGCATATCAAAAGAAACTGCAAAGCCTGGAAGAACAGAGATCGAAGGAACAAATCAGAGAACGATGAAAGTACCGCAACCCCTGTGATCAATGGGGAAGTGGTGTTGCTCTCTGTTGAAGAAGAAGAGTGTCATGTTGCAGATTCATGTGTTGAATGGGTCATTGACTCAGCTGCATCCTACCATGCAACCTCTCATAAGGAATTCTTTTCTCTATACAAAGAAGGAGACTTTGGTAGAGTAAAGATGGAAACAATAGTATTGCAAATATTGTGGGAGTTGGTGATGTGTGTATTCAAACTGATATTGGGTGCAGAATAACACTGAAGGATGTACGACATGTACCTGACTTACGTCTGAATTTGATCTTTGTGCATGCATTGGATCTAGCAGGCTATACTAACAACTTTGGTAGCGGCACATGGAGGCTTACCAAAGGATCATTGTTAGCTGCTAGAGGTACAGTGAGATCGACATTGTACATAACTCAAGTGAAGCTGGTCAAAGGTGGACTGAATGCAGTCGAGGATGATGCTTCGCCAAATTTGTGGCACAAAAGACTAGCTCATATTGGTGAAAAAGGATTACAAATTTTGGCAAGAAAGTCCCTCATCCCATTTGCCAAAGATTCAAAACTAAATCCTTGTGATTATTGTCTCTCAGCAAAACCTCGAAGCTGAAAGAGAATATTTTGGAGATGGTGTACTATGATGTATGTGGACCCATGGAAGTGGAGAGTCTCGGTGGTAGCAGATATTTTGTGACGTTTATTGATGATGCTTCACGGAAATTGTGGGTATATTTCTTGAGAACAAAAGACGAAGTTTCCAATTACTTCAAAAGGTTTCATGCTATGGTGGAGAAACAGACTGGTAACCCTTTGAAGTGTCTTTGCTCAGATAATGGAGAAGAGTACTCTTCCCATGAATTCAAGAATTATTGTGCTGATCATGGAATCAGGCATGAGAAGACTGTACCTGGAACCCCACAACATAATGGTGTGGCTAAAAGAATCAATAGAACCATTATGGAGAAAGTGAGGTGTATGTTAAGAATGGCTAAACTACCTAAGCCATTTTGGGGTGAGGCTGTTCTAACGGCGTGCTACCTGATCAACCGATCTCCATCTGTTCCTTTGGGCTTTGATATCCCTGAGAGAGTATGGTTCGGCATGATGTTAAATACTCTCATCTAAAGGTGTTTGGATGCAAAGCTTTTGCTCACGTAAGCAAGGAACAGATACGAAAACTTGATGATAGAGCCATTCCTTGTATATTTCTGGGCTATGGAGATGAGGAATTTGGCTATAAGTTATGGGATCCAGAAAATAAAAAAGTTATCAGAAGCAGAGATGTAGTGTTCCATGAGCAAGAAACTATGTCTGATTCTGCTTCACCAGAAACTACAGAATCAAGTGGTAAGGTGGATCTTTCACCTGTGAAACCTCATGGAGATGCCACAGCAGGGGGAGAGTGTGATGGAGAACTCAGGGTTGATGGTGAGCCAGCAACAGAAGATGGTGATGGTGAAGGTGTCGAGCAAGAAGACCTCGAAGCTCCGCCTCAGCTCAGAAGATCAAATCGAGCGATCCAACCGTCTATGAGATACCCTTGTTCCACGTATATTACCATCACTGAAGAAGGGGAGTTAGAAAGCTTTGAAGAAGTACAGACTCATAAGGATAAATCCCAGTGGATGAAAGCTATACAAGAAGAAATGGATTCACTGGTGAAAAATAAAACTTATGAGCTTGTGAAGCTTCCGGAAGGCAGAAAAGCTTTGAAGAATAAATGGGTGTTCAAGCTTAAGAAAGATGGTGACAAGTTGCTGAAATACAAGGCTCGCTTAGTCGTGAAAGGATTTGGACAAAAGCGAGGAATAGACTTTGATGAGATATTCTCTCTGGTTGTAAAGATGAGCTTTATTCGAGTAGTACTCGGATTGGTGGCTAGCTTGGATCTGGAGTTTGAACAACTAGATGTGAAGACTGCATTTCTTCATGGAGACCTAGATGAAAAAATCTACATGGAGCAATCAGAAGGATTTGAGAGAACTGGAAAGGAGCACATGGTTTGCAGATTGAAGAAGAGCTTGTATGGATTGAAACAAGCTCCTAGACAGTGGTATAAGAAGTTTGACTCGTTCATGGCGAGCCATGGATATACCAAGACTGATGCAGATCATTGTGTGTTTGTTAAGAAATTTCCAAGTGATAGATTCATTATCCTTTTGCTATATGTAGATTATATGTTAATAGTGGGACAAGATATGAAGTTGATTGATAATCTGAAGAAGGATTTAGCAAAGTCCTTTGAAATGAAAGATCTGGGCCCTGCGAAACATATTTTGGGCATGCAGATCATGCGAAACCGAAAATCCAAAAAGTTGTGGTTATCGCAAGAACGATATGCGAATCAAATTCTGGAGAGATTCAACATGAAATCGGCTAAGCCAGTCAATACACCGTTGGCCAATCACTTCAAACGAAGTAAACAAAGTTGTTCTACGAGTCAAGAAGGAAAAGAAGCTATGGCGGGTGTTCCATACTCCTCAGCAGTCGGGAGTTTGATGTATGCCATGGTCTGTACAAGACCAGATATCGCTCAGGCGGTTGGAATTGTTAGCAGGTATATTTCCAATCCTAAGAAGGATCATTGGGAAGCTATGAAGTGGATCTTGAGGTACCTGAAAGGAAGTGCAAATAAGTCCTTGAGCTTTGGCAAAGGAAGCCCAGTTCTTGAAGGTTATACAGATGCAGATATGGCAGGTGACCTGGATAGTAGAAAATCTACTTCAGGGCTTGTATTTACATTTGCAGGGGGAGCTGTATCTTGGAAATCTAAATTGCAGAAATCTGTTGCCTTGTCGACTACTGTAGCAGAGTATATTGCAATGACTGAAGCATGAAAGGAAATGCTTTGGTTGAAGAGGTTTCTTCAACAATTGGGAATAAAGCAGAAAAGGTACGATATCCATTGCGATAGTCAGAGCGCATTGGATTTAAGTAAGAATGCGATGTACCACTCTCGCACGAAGAACATTAATGTCAGATATTATTGGCTACGTCAAGCAGTGGGAGAACAACAATTCAAGTTGGAAAAGATTCACACTGACGAGAACCCTGCTGACATGATGATGAAAGTTGTGTCAAGGGGAAAGCTTCAGCTTTGTGTCGAGTTGATCGGCATGGAATGCATGTGAAGAGGTGCAACATATTTCCATTTGACTGGTGGGGTAGAATTGTGTTGTCCAGTCAAGAAAGGTGGCTAGCCCACCATTGTAGAAAAAAAAAAGAAAGAATGAGGAAGTTGCAGCCGGTTTTTTTTTTTTTTTTCTTTCGTTCACATGCTCTTTCCCCCTCTATAAATAGAGGGGGATTCATTCTGAAGCAAACACACCAAAAATCAGAAGAAGAAAATGAGAGAGAGAAGAAATAACATTTTGTGAGTGTTATTTTTCAGTGAGATAAAAATAGAGTGTTTGAGTAAATCATGTGAGTGTGGGAAAAATACACCGGGTTGGGTATCAACTCTATTACTCCTTGTTTGTAAAATTTGAATAGGAGTGGGGTTTTACTGGGTCACTATATTTTACATTTCTAGTGTAGGGTAGTGTGAAAAGATATTGTAATTATCTTAAAAATATAGTGGATTTGTTCAGAGGTTGTCCCGTGGTTTTTTCCTCTACATTGGAGGTTTTTCCACGTTAAATCTTGGTGTCTTATTTCTTTCATATTTCATTTATTTGGGATATTCTTAGTATGCTATGTGGTCGCAGTTTAATCTGATCTTCCACATCAGAAAAGAATTATTCCTGTTTTATTGCAAGAGATTATTTTTCTTTTGTCATTCTTGAGTTGCTGGGATTGGGTTTATTGTTCACCATTTTACCTCGGTGTTTTAATTTACACCTTCCGCATTTGCGCATCTGAGCCCAACACTGGGCTGGTGCACTGGGACGCTGTTGGTCGCGCGTGGGTCGCTGTTGGTCGCGCTTGGGGGCTGTCGGACGTTGGGTAGTGGGCACAGGACGCTGGGGGTGTGCAGGTTGCGCATGGGTGCCTGAGAGGTCCCGGGTCTTCGTGCGCGCGTCACCTGGAGTGCTGCGGGAGAGCGCGTGGGGAACTGGGAGCGTTGGGGCGCACGTGGGCGTCGAGGAGCGTTGCTGGTCTCTGCGGCAGCGCGCGACTGGGAGCACGGACGCGTGAGGATGGGTCTGCTTGGGACGCCTGCAGCTGGGACGAGCCTGGGGGCGCTTAGGGCTGTTTTCCGGTGGAAACGCCGACCGGTTCAAGGTTTTTCCAGCAACATAAAGGGCTTAGAGCCTATAAATTCTGCATTCTAACATGGCAACGGGGCTCGGGAATACTTAACAAGATCATAACTTGGATTTTCGGTCTCTTTTCTTAAATCTTAACAAAAATTTTAAACATAATAATGCTTTATTCCTTTAAACTGAAATTATACCAAACTTTTCAGCAAGAATACAAATGAAAAATGGCTCAAAAGAAATCTTAACAATACGCAAGCATCTACGCGAAATTTGATCTCTTTCTCATTCAATCTTTAATACAGTCTTAAGCATAATATTTTAAATTCTTCTTAATTGATTTCAAGCAAGTATTTTCAGCATGGCTTAGCAAAAAAAAGGGCCCGGGGCTGGCACTTCACTGGGAAAACAAGGGGTAAGGCTCGGGTTTAAGGGAATGTGACCTCGATCTTGGATTTCCCTGTCACTTTGCCGCTCGTCTCAGCCGCGGCAACGATCAGCTCTCGATCTCGTGTGCTCAGCCTGCTGGCAGTCACCAAAATCTCCTTCAGCTGCGGACATGGCCTTCTCTTGGCCGCCCAGCTTCGCTGACTTGCTGAGGGAGAACTTTGGACAAAATGGAGGGTGAAAATTTGTGGAGAAAAGGGGAATAAAGTTTGGACTTCTTTTTGGGGACTTATGTTGGGGATGTCACTAAAATTAAAAGGGTCAATCTCCTTGAGGAATTCAAGATCGAGCCATCAGCTCGCGTTAGACTATGTCACTGCCCTTTGTATACACCGCCAACAAAAAAAAAAGGTCAATCTCCTTGGAGATTGATGTGCTTGATTTGGACCAAAAATGGCTAAGGTAAATGGATAAAGATGAGGTGATTTTTTATCTTAAATATATATATAGGGTCACGCACTGGTGAGAATGGTTCCCCAGGAAAGAAATAAGAATGTATCTTAGCCATCAAATCTAATAATCCAATGGACAAGATAATTCAATATTTTTACATTCATTGAGGGTAGTTTCGGTATTTTGTCTGACAAAAAAATGTGCGCCCCTTCCTCATCCTGTTCTCCACCCGATCTATGTGTTTCCCTTTCTCACACACACGCAGAGCACCACGGCGGTTTCCTAATCTCGCCGGTGAGCATCTGGTCACCGACGACCGCTCGAATCGGCCCGAACTTCGCCGTTGTCTTTCTAGGCGGCGCCACGAGACGAGAGCAATTAGATCAACCTGCTCAAGAAGCTCTTCACCTTGAAAATGGCAGATAATTGAAACCTGCTTGAGAAGCTCTCCAGGAGAACGCATCTTCCCGCCGTTCAATTTTCACGCCTTACCGCCGGAAACCAACTCTCGCCATCGCTGCGTCATTCCTCCTTTGTCGAAGCACAGGAACCCCGCCGCAGAACTCCCCTCTGTCACCGCGGCACTGCAAATTATGGCACCGATGTGGACCCGAAGAACAGAGGTTCTGCTGGTGTCCAAGATGTCGACGTACATGAAGGTGACGACGCCTCCCAAAATCGGGCCTTCCCGACGAAATTGAAGCTTAGAGCACCGGCGACGACTTTTTGATTTGGGGCGGGCAATAAAAAAAGATTTGATTTAGGGTAAGCTAATTTTTGAAAATTGGATATTTTCTAAGGATCTAATTGCAATTTCATAATTTTTTCAATTATTTAAAATACACAGTATAATATCGAAAAAATTGTCTAGTTTTGATTGGCCTTTGAAAACAGAGTTTTGGATGAATTTTGCTGCTTGCCCGGGTCCAAACTCCGTCTTTCCCCAAGTACATTTTAAAAAATAATATAATATAAATATTAAAATATTGAATATATTAAAAATACTAAATATACTTTTATAATAACAAATAATAAAATATATTAAATTATTTTAGTTAATTCGATGTACAATTATATCTACTAAAACTAGTTTCCAAATACACATAATTTATATGATATTATAGAAAGTATTGCATTTTATACAACAATACGCGCACTTTATAAAACATCACGTTGCACTTTATAAAACATCACATTGCACCTTATAATACAGTATAAAACATAACGTTGCACTTTAAAAACATTACGTTGCACCTTATAATACAACATGTTGCACTTTATAATAAAACATATTGCACTTTATAAAACAACTCGGTGCACTTTATAATCACACTCTACCCGTCAATAACTTACAACATAAATCTAGAAAAATAGATAGCTCCTACCAAAATACAACACAACATAAATCTAAAAAAAATGAGATACATATATTTTAGCATACATCATATCATATGTCCACCAAAAAAAAAAAGCATGCTACATACTAAAATTTCGATAGTGCATTTTATATATCGACATGTTGCACAATATAAAACAACACATTGCACTTTTTAAAATAGGACGCTGCACTTTATCGCGAGTAGCATATTGTACAATAGATAGCGAAACAGAACCGACCAAATTAGAGTTTTCTATTCAAAATTTTATATTACGGTTCGATAAATTATTTTTATTTTTAAAATCACAATTATTTCAGTTCAATGTCGGAATTATTTTCTAAA